CCAAACAACCCAAACAACCCAAGCCCTGACCCTACACAGACACAGACACGGACACAGACACAGACAGAGAGAGAGAGAGAGAGAGAGCGAGAGAGGAAAGACAAAAGACAAAAACAGCATCAACCAAAAAACAACTACAACTACAGAAAACACCAAACATACAAAAGTGCAATCACAAAACAACAAAGTGTTAGCCCAACACCCTCGACATCACCTCTTGCATACACAGTTACAGGAAACACCAATCAACTACAAAAAGAAACACACAGTCATGAGGCATGTAGACTGCAAAACCCCAAGCCCGATCCGTCCAGGGACTTATGGGGTCCCCAGTCCTTAGGTGCTCTAGTAACCTCATTCCTAGGTGCCTGGATAGGGAAACCCTAAGCCCCAAATCCCAAAACCCTAAACCCCAAACCCTAAACCCTCAATCCTAAACCCTCAACCCTAAACCCTAAACCCTAAACCCTAAACCCTAAACCCTAAACCCTAAACATCACCTCCTGGTCGATCTCCGCGCCGTCCTTGAGCGCCAGGCTCGGCGCATGCAGCAAGCGGTTCCTGGGCCGCCCAAGAGGCTCTGAGTGACTGCTTTCTGCGGCCCCTAAACCCTAAACCCTAAACCCTCAACCCTAAACCCTAAACCCTAAACCCTAAACCCTAAACCCTAAACCTGAACCCCAAACCCAAACTTGGTAGTGGGTGTGACACCCGCCAGCCAAGCCCCCAAAGTCCTGCGGAGTGAAACCCCCCAAAGCCCAAACCCAATTTTGGCTTCTTGCGTCCTTTCAAAGAGCCCTTTGAAACCTAAAACCTTATAACCCCAACCCCCCCCCCCCGGCAAAAAAAGATAGTAAAAATGGAAATAAAAACAAGCAACACAACAAAAACCCAAAACAAAAACACAAAGCAAAGAAACCCAGAACATAAACAAAAAACTCACATTAAAAAACAAACAAAAAACTCACCACAAACCAGGCCGTGGCTCAGACGCCTCCTCGCTGTTTGCAGCTCCACGGCCGTCGTGGAGCCCAGCTCGAGCTGCTGGAAGAGCTTGGCGGCCTTAAGTAATAGGGCTCTTAAGGGAGGGGGGTTTAGGGTTTAGGGTTTAGGGTTTAGGGTTTAGGGTTTAGGGTTTAGGGTTTAGGGTTTAGGGTTTAGGGTTACGGGGGTTCATGGGAGGTAGGACATAGGGAACCTTTGCAAAGCTTAAGGAGCTTTAGGGAGTAGTGGGGAGTATTCGGGAACCTTGGGTTACATGCCCCGCTTGAACCCCCCTCCCTTAAGACCCCTACGGAGACGCTTGTTAAACTCCTGCATTTAAACAGATAAAACGGACGCGGCATACTTTTGAGGCAGTTGTCACAGGGCCGCCAAACTGAAAACATGGTGTGGAAGGCTGGACGGGTGGGGGTTTGGCCTCCAGCCCTCCAGCCCTCCAGCCCTCCAGCCCTCCAGCCCTCCAGCCCTCCAGCCCTCCACCCTCCACCCTCCACCCTAAACTGGGGTGCCTGCTAGATGGGGTTGGAGGCCCTGAGTCGTCCCGGCCCAACCCAACTAAACATCTGCAGCCTGAACATTCGGAATAAAACTGGTGCCTCATGCTACCTCCTACTGGATTTGTGGTTGGCCCTCCACACATTTCAAAGTTGTCACCGTATAGCTCAAGGACAACTTCAGGGAGTTACTCCTGAGCCCTGAGCCCTACACTCTATCTAATTAACCCCTGAACCCTAGATCGCCAACCCTTAGCCCTAATTAGACCCCTAAAACCCTCAACCCTAAACCCGAAACCCCTAAACCCTAGCCCTAAACCCGAAACCCCTAAACCCTAGCCCTAAACCCTAAACCCTCGGGCAGCCGCGCCTGCGCCCGGAGCGCCCGCACCCGGCCCGCATGGCGGAAGCCCCGGAGCTTACCAGCGCACTTGGCCACGGCGGGCTCGAGGATGGTCCTGGAAGGGCCCCAATAGGGTTTGTTTGGGGTTTAGGGTTTAGGGTTTGGGGTTTGGGGTTTAGGGTTTGGGGTTTGGGGTTTGGGATTTTGGGTTTGGGGTTTGGGGTTTAGGGTTAGGGGTTAGGGTTTGGGGTTTGGGGTTTGGGGTTTGGGGTTTGGGGTTTGGGGTTTGGGGTTTGGGGTTTGGGGTTTGGGGTTTGGGGTTTGGGGTTTAGGGTTTAGGGTTTAGGGTTTAGGGTTTAGGGTTTAGGGTTTAGGGGTTAGGGGTTAGGGTTTAGGGTTTAGGGTTTAGGGTTTAGGGTTTAGGGTTTAGGGTGTGGGGTTTAGGGCTCAGGGTTTTAGGTTTGGGCCTTAGAGAGTCTCTTTTAGGGTTCAGGGTGTTGGCTTTAGGGTTTTGGGGGTTTAGGGTTTGTGCTTTGGGGTTTCAGGTTTTGGCTTTGGGGTTTAGGGTTTAGGGTCACGGAAGGGTCTCACAGGGTTTGTTTTGTGTTTAGGATTTAGGGTTTTGGGGCTTGGGGTTTGGGGTTTGGGGTCTGGGGTCGCGAGTTTGGGGTTTAGGGTGTAGGGTTTGGGGGAGAGAGCTGAAGCATGTTTAGGCTTTCTTTATTTCAAGTCTTTGCGGGCTGCTTGTGGATTTTTGATAGAACAAGGTAGGAATGCTGGGCTCAGGTTCCAAAACAAAACGGTTGAACTGTACTCCCTGAACCCTCACACCCTAAACCCTAAACCCGCCCTTAAGCCCCCATAAGCCCCTAAGATCCTAAACCCTAAACCCTGAAGCCCCAAACCCTAAACCCTAAACCCGAAATCCCTTTCTCCAGGCCTCTCGGCCGCCTCTGCTGCTGCCGCCGCAGCCGCGCGCGGGGCACGGGCCAGGCGGCCCTCGCCGTAGGCCTTGGGGACAGGGGTTTAGGGTTTAGGGTTCAGGGTTCAGGGTTTAGGGTTTAGAGTTTAGGGTTTAGAGTTTAGGGTTTAGGGTTTAGGGTTTAGGACACAGGTACTTCTCTAAAAAAGGGTCAGGGAATCCTTTTTGTGGGATGCCGTACGATGTAGGGACCTAACTTAGAGAACTACCCACATTGAACTACACCCACAAAGCCTTAACCCCGAAGCCCCCCTAAACCTTAAGCTTCTCGTCGACGGGAGGAAGTGGGGTTGCAAGAATTTCAGACCTTAAACCCTAAACCCCAAGCCCTAAACCCCAAACCCTAAACCCAAAACCCTGAACCCTAAGCCCGTCTACAACTGCGCACGCCTGGAGTTGGTCCAGTTGCGGCAGGCGCTGGGGGTTGCGCACGCCTTTGCCCACCTCATGTACTGATTTAGGGTTCAAGGTTCAGGGTTCAGGGCTCAGGGTTTAGGGTTTAGGGTTTAGGGTTTGGGGTTTGGGGTTTTGGGTTTGGGGTTTAGGGTGCAGGGTTCAAGGTATAGAGCAGGTGCGTGTTTAGGCTCAGGGTTTCGGGGATTAGGGGGTTTAGGGGGCTTAGGGTTTAGGGTTTAGGGCTAGGGTTTAGGCTCAGGGTTTAGGGTTCTATGCTAGCCCAACCTCCGAACCCTAAACTGAACCCCACACCCTCCTGGACCCCAAACCCTGAACCCAAACCCCAGAAGCTAAACCCTACACCCTTGAACCCTTAAACCCCTAAACCACTGCACAACTAAGCCCTGAATCTTAAAATTCTCAACCGCTGAACCAAACCCTAAACTCTTAGGCCTAAACCCTAAACCCTAAACCCCCCAAACCCTGAACTCTTAGGCCTAAACCCTAAACCCTAAACCCCCCAAACCCTGAAGTTTCGTGGTCCCTTAACATGGGCCCTTAATTGGGGCACCACTATATACCCCTTATAGACCCTACACAACTTCAGAACCCTTTAAGGAAGGTAAGGGACCAGATTGAGGGTTTAGGGCTTAGGGCTTAGGGTTTAGGGTTTAGGGTTTAGGTTTAGGGTTAAGCCCTGAACCCTAATCCCCTGCACCCCTAAGCGACCGCGCTGGGATCTACTCATGTCCTGGAGCCCACCCTGTTGTCCTGTACCAGGACTTGGGTGTGTCATGTCCAAAGAAGGACGAGCGAATCCTTAAGTTCGCTTGTTTGTGCCTCTTCATTCAGTAAGGGGAGAGCAGTACCCTAAGCCCAAACCTTAATGTCCCCAAAACCGTAAACCCTAAACCCTAAATCCGAAACCTGAAACCGCCCTAAACCCTAAACCCCAAACCCCAAACCCTAAACCCTAAACCCTAAACCCCAAACCCCAAACCCGAAACCCTAAACCCTAAACCCTAAACCCCAAACCCTAAACCCTAAACCCTAAACCCTAAACCCTAAACCCTAAACCCTAAACCCTAAACCCTCAGCCGGCTGGCGCACCTCGAGCGCGATGCGGAAAACGAGCCCGAGGCGCTTGCCGCAGGGTGGGCCACCAAAGGCGTCATCCGTCGAAGTTACAGCCTTCGGTTGGTGGTTTAGGGTTTAGGGTTTAGGGTTTAGGGTTTAGGGTTTAGGGTTTGGGGTTTAGGGTTTGGGGTTTGGGGTTTGGGGTTTGGGGTTTAGGGGTTAGGGTTTAGGGTTTAGGGTTTAGGGTTTGGGGTTTAGGTTTAGGGTTTAGGGTTTAGGGTTTAGGGTTTCGGGGGTCTAGGGTCTCGGGTCTGAGTAAGGGGCTACTCTGGGTCCTAGTACTGGTTCGAGGTTGCCACTGACTCCTTCCACTTCCCGGCCCAGCCCCGCAGTTCGGGTAAAGTTTGAGGACAACGCCCAAGCTTGCTTTGAACAATCTCGCGGGCGACAGCAACAAGCAAGAAGACGACAAGGAACAAGAGCCCAGTAAAACAGCAGAAAAAAGTTGCAAAAAAAAAGAGATGCAAACGAAGAAAGACATAAACCCTACCCTCAACGGGCTCGGGCAGAAGGAAATAAAAAGCCGGCGGGCGCCTCCAAAGTGCGCTTGAGCTGCAGCATGATGTGGGCGTCACGCGCGGAGCATGGGTTGAAGGCGTCCTGGGGCTGGGGGGAATCTTAGGAGTTTAGGGCACCCAAAGCCCGAAACCCTAAGCCCTAAACCCAAAACCCTAAACCCGAAACCCTAAACCCTAAACCCGAAACCCTAAACCCTAACCGCTTTGCATAGGCGCTTGTAAGACTTTCAGGGCAGGTTCTTGGGAGACTAAGATTCCCTTGGCAAGCCCTCCAGAAGTCCCAAGCCAACTCCAAACGAATCTGTGAAACCCTAAACCCCTCACCCTTACAAACTCCAAAGCCCTCGGCCCTAGAAACCATTTACAAAAAAAAACAAAGCCCAAAACTGGGCCGCCCCATACTCATTTGCAATTCTCAACGCACCCTAAACCCTGAAACCCTAAGCCCTAAACCCTGAAACCCTACACCCTAAACCCTAAACCCTAAACCCTGAAACCCTGAACCCTAAACCCTGCAACCCTAAACCCTGAAACCCTGAGCTCCTTGGGACGGCCCTCCAAGCCAGCGGCCACGGCCGCACAGTAGGAGGCCACCGCCTGCGGCCCGGAGCGCACCTGGGAATCGGGTCTAGGGTTCAGGGCTTCGAGGGTTTAGGGTTTAGGGTTTAGGGTTTAGGGTTTTGGGTTTAGGGTTTAGGGTTTAGGGTCGAGGGTTTAGGGTTTAGGGTTTAGGGCTTTGGGTTTAGGGCTGAGGGTCGGGGGTTTAGGGATTAGGGTCTAGGGATGAGGGTTTAGGGTCTATACTGTCTAGGGTCTATAGGGTCTAGGGCCTAGGGTTTTCGGTCCAAGGTTCAGAGTTCAAGGCTTGCGCCTTGCCGTTGAAGCCTCGCGCTTTTCGGTTTGACGTGGAGCCCTTCACAGGACGAAAGAAGGGGCCTTAACGTGGAATCCTAAACCCTAAACCCTAAACCCTAAACCCTAAACCCTAAACCCTAAACCCTAAACCCTAAACCCTAAACCCTAAACCCTAAACCCTAAACCCTCTAAGGTATATGCAGGGTATGCATGATAGGCCCTGTAAGCACTGCAGTGAAGCCGACGAACCCGATGAGGAAGAAATGGAACCCCTTGAACCTTCAAGACAACCTTAACTTTACCCTAATCCCCCCCCCCCAAACCCTTAGCTTCATGACCTTCCCTTAACCCCAAAACCCAAAACCCAAAACCCAAAACCCAAAACCCTAAACCCTAAACCCTAAACCCTAAACCCTAAACCCTAAACCCTAGCCCTGAACCCTAAACCCTAAACCCTAAACCCCAAGCCCTGGAACTCCTAAACCCCTGGCACCTCCAGGACCTTCCGCAGCGCTTTGGCGTCGCTTTGGACGCCTTTTGAGCCGGCCACCGTGCCAAGGCGGCTGTGGGAGGAGACCAGCTCGGGGAAATCGAAGCCCGAAGTGGCCTGAGGAGGTTTGGGGTTTGGGGTTTAGGGTTTAGGGTTTAGGGTTTAGGGTTTAGGGTGTAGGGTTTAGGGTTTAGGGTTTGGGTTTAGGGTTTAGGGTTTAGGGTTTAGGGTTTAGGGTTTAGGGTTTAGGGTTTAGGGTTTAGGGTTTAGGGTTTAGGGTTTAGGGTTTAGGGTTTAGGGTTTAGGGAGTAGGGAGGGTTAGGGTTTAGGGTTTCGGTTTAGGGTTTAGGGTTTAGGGTTGGGTTAGGGTTTAGGGTAGGGTTTAGGGTTTAGGGTTTCGGGTGTAGGGTTAGGGTTTAGGGTTTTTAGGGTTTAGGGTTTAGGGTTTAGGGTTTAGGGTTTAGGGTTTAGGGTTTAGGGTTTAGGGTTTAGGGTTTAGGGTTTAGGGTTTAGGGTTTAGGGTTTAGGGTTTAGGGTTTAGGGTTTAGGGTTTGGGCTTAGGGTTTCGGGTCTTAGGGTTTAGGGTTGAGGGTTTAGGGTTGAGGGTTTAGGGTTCAGGGTTCAGGGTTCAGGTTTAGGTTAGGAGGCTGTGGGTTAAGGGTAAGGGTTAAGGATTTGGGGTTCGGGGCGTCTAGGGGATTCATGGTGTGCCGGGGGTGGGGGGGGCTCCCTGGCAGCTCAGCAACCACATATGAAATTTTAAGTAATCCTAAACCCTAAACCCTAAACTCTTGTTTTGTGGTGGCTACGCGTATAGAGGAACCCCAAACAACCCCAAAACGCGCACAGGGGCGCCACTGGGCTACAAAGGTTGCCCTGTGGAGGTTAGCGCTTTGAGGCTGTGGGGTTCAAGGTTTCGGGTGCACCCTAAACCCTAAACCCTAAACCCCAAACCCCAAACCCCAAACCCTAAACCCTAAACCCCCGACACCGCCGCAGAGGGGCTGCTTTGGGGCTCTGTGGCAAGGGGGGGGGGGGGCCTGGAAGAGCCAAGTCTTCATGCCCTCCAGCCAGCTGCCCTGCTGCAAGGAGAAGCACGCCTGCAGGGCCACTGGGGTTTGCAGGGTTTAGTGTGGTTTAGGGTTTTGGGGGTTTGCAGGGCGACTATTCAAGTGTCTACGAGTATAAATCGTTAGTGACCCAAACCCTAAACCCCAAACCTTAACCCCAAACCCCACTACCCCCCTCCCCTGCGCGGCCATCTGCTGGGCGGCAACATCGGC